CTTTATAAACATTCAACTAACGCCGTCTAATGCCTGAATTACCAACTATAATTCTTACTAAATTATTGCATTGTCCTGGCACGGTTAAGGCTGTTACGTCACTGATAAGGAACACAGTCATGTGAAAGTGTTACTCTTACGTTATTGATAAGAAATAGTCAAGGTGATATTGTTACTGTTACTGTTACGTTACTGAGGCTAACATTGGTAAATACTGTATTGTTATTCCCAGATGTGACTAAATATGGCGTCGTCAACTCAGCATCGAGACTGGGCAACACAGGAAACCAGTTTCGGCATTATCGTTCCAACAGCAGTTACTTTATATCGTAATAATAATCCAACTGTTCGTTCAGGTCCAATAATCTTAATGGAGGAGTGCCGTTAAGAGCTATTAAAATAACTAATACTGCAAGGAAATATTTTGAGATGTGGCCATGTTCGTGTGTGTATTGCTGTTGCTGTTTGTGTGTGTTTATGTAGTAGTATTAGTATAAGTAGAGTAGTAGTCGTGATGTAGAATTATTAGTAGCAATAACGTCCATAAACACTCACACATGCACACTAAGAATCTACTACTACTACTACTTTGCTGTCACTCGGAATTGAGTATGACGATCATCCAGCTATTATACAATGATATGACTTATTAAGGATGTCACCTAGGTTGGAGAGTTCTGAGGTGACTGAAGAGGCAGATGCGGGAGCTAAGAATAACACGCACGCACGCACGCACACACACACACACACACACACACACACACAAACAAACTAACAAAATTCACCACAATTTTAATTTCACTTTTGTTGAGAATATGAATTTTTATATTACCGGGAGGAGGGACAGAGGGCGGACAGACGGACGGACAGACGGATGTGGAGGTAATGATTTATTGTGATGAGAGAGAGAGATGGGGGAAACAGGTTACACATAATAAGGACACAGGTAACATCTCGACACACTCAACATTCCTACAATTTCGCCTCCGCCTAACATCAGAGAGGCAGATGACAACTTCAGCATAAGCGCTCACCACCGCTTGTCCTCGCATGTCACGACGCTTATTGAAGGAAAGGTTTGCTCATCATCAAGGAAAACGGAACCTCTCAGAACTCGTGAAGTCACTAACCTCACTCAGTAATTGTCATCACTATTTAAGGTCTGCAAACAATTTTCATAGTGGCTATTTATATATGTGTACAATTATTTCAGTGTGACCTGGGAAAATAAAAGTGGGTTGCATAAACAATTTAACAGTAGTGATTTCTTTATGTGGTATCATTGGAAATATTATTTGGATTTCACTAGTTTACTGATTTTGCGATTTTGTTCCAAAATTCTTTAATGCTTGTGTGGAGGATGCGTTTTCTTAAAAAAAAAAAGGCATACATCGTATTCTTTAGATCTTGGTACTAGCATCACCTAATTACTGATATAATATTTTGATGTTTATAGTCTGTAAGAGGGTCATGACGGCAAACAACCGTATCACACTATAAAACGAGAGGTTTTGTTACCTTCACGTTTACTGACAACCAATTTATGTGAAAATAAGTACCTGTACAAGAAAATTTTATCTGCAAACATGAATTTGTCCCTTCCTTTCGCGGCAGCTTACACCTCCTTCCAACATTCTATTAACAGTATCTAATGATAACGGTCATTTAAAAACTTGTGAAATAAGAAAGTAAATCTGACACTCCTTCAAAAGAAGCGGCCTTTAGTATTTTGCTTCTTCTTTGAAACATATAAAAGCTACTCTTAGTTGTTTTGGGAGTATCACGTTTAATTTTTGACACGCAACAGGCTACACTCTTATAACACTATTTTTGTTATAGCTGAAATAATATAGGCTTACCTTTTGAACATGGCAGTTGCAATGTTGATATTGCGCCATTTTCAATCCTCACAAGTCTTCTTGGTACTAGTAATCCAAGAAGTTTATATTTCAAGTTCTCCTCAAACGCACTGGCCTCAAAATGCAAACTGAATATTTGTGGATTTTCAGCACTTTTTAAAGTCTTTTCTATTTGCACATGTGAATCCATATTCTTCTCAGATCTTTATCCTTCGGAAAGCGATGGAAACTTACATCACCCCTATTTTTAATTTGTAATTAACACCCAATAACTGAGCAAGTATTCAGCATGCTTGTTGTTGTTGTTGCCGACTCGTGAGTAGTGACGTTACGGGCGCTCAGAGGCTTCGTTTCCTTTGATGCGTAATCAGTTGAATCAGTTCAGCAGACCTTGTACAGGTTTTTTTATAGACTTTGCTTGAAGGTATATCAGACACACATTCGCCCGACTTTCGCCAATACGAGCGATGATTTATCTAAGAAATAATAAATCACACCATCAGTATGGAATTTAAACATTATCAAGTTATTAGGCAATGTTGAGTCTGGTTAGTAAACTTAGTACTTGGATGGTAGCCGCCCTATTGGAAATGCGCATCTCATGGCTTTGTCGGCTGTCCTTACTCAAAATTACTAAAAAAAACTGAGATTATATACAGGGGTATAACCTTGAATTTGAATTTGAAGTTCAATTTGAACCCGCGACGACTTGTCATCAAGACTGGCCTAACTACAATATTTTGCAATTAGCTAGAGCAATTTACTTAATTGTAGGTTGTACTGTAGTGGATTTCTCCCCTACAAACGCTGTTTGTCGCTGAGTAGCCGACCCCGCGAATTCCACAGTGTATGCCTCGTGGTCTAGGTCAACCAGCGCCGCCCACGGAGCGGGGGTCAACTATCTACCCACGCCTACCTCCGCTATTTAAGACCTGACCTCGTGGTGACCTGTCTCTTTTCTACTTACACCAACCAGCCAGCAACACCTCCTCCTCCACTCCTGCCTGGCGGCCCTCGCTCCCGCCGGTGAGCATGGCGACCCACAACCTGTCCTCCTCTGAGCATCCTCACCAACCAGCTCTCTCTACTCAACGCTTGTAACCATGCTGCCTTCCCAGCACCAAGCTGCATTGTACATCCAATACAACATGTATACAGAGAGCACATTGTGGGTTTTCTTTCTCCATCCCATCCTGAGTCCGAACAAACCACCCATACCCCACAGTACATATTTTGCACAATGCAAAACATTATTATAATCACAATATAATTCACTACTTGATTTTAATAAAACGCCTGTAGTGGAAATTTCCCCTACAACTACAACTGCCGTTTGTCGCTGACTAGCCGATCCAGTGGCGTAGCTAGAGTGTGTGCCGCCCGGGGCGGACCGCCCCCCCCCTAGCTACGCGAGTGAGCCGATCCCTTTTCAAGTTTCCCAGCCAACGCCTCGTGGTCTAAGGTCGGCTTCTAGCGACATCTGACAAAGCGGAGGTCAGCTACCAAGCCATGACTACCTCCGCTATATAAGACCTCACCTTGCCATGACCTCCCTTCTACCTACAGCCACGCAGCACGCAACACCTCCTCCGAGCAAGCTCCTCGCCAACCAGCTCTCTCTACTCCATGCTCCTGAACCAGCAAGCTCCTAACCACACAACAGCTTCCCAGCACCAAGCTGCACTGTACATCCAATACAATATATATACAGAGAGTGCATTGTGAGTTTCCTTTCTCGAACCCATCCTGAGTGTGAGACAACATCACGAAACACCACACGACCATAAGTCGTTGACAAATATAAAGGGGCCTAAAATAAATTTATTTTCACCTTAAGCTTCTGGCAAACAACGGCATATCCAAGCTTAGATACTGTAGCCCCCCTCCCCAAGTTGCTGATTACATACACCAATGGAATAAATTACTAGCCAGTGACAATAAAAATAATCTTATAGAAGCTAGCTTTTATTATTTTTCTTTTCAACATCTAAAGTTCAAGGCCAGGAAAATGTGGGTGCCCTGTTCGTCCGCACACTGAACACTCCTAAATCCAGCGTATATATAATGATTACTGAAAAAAATTGGTCCCAGCAGTTTTTGGGTTGGTCTATGGGGCAGGTTTTGGCACTGGCAGCAATGTATTTCCAAACCTGGCAACACTGATAATTAAACACTTCAATGCTTACCTAACCTGACCTAACAATCTAAATCCAGCTTAACTTAACCTAACCTAGCTTAGCTTAACCTAACCTAATCAAGCTTAACTTAACCTAACCTAATTTAGCCAAACTCAATGTAACCTGAAGAAGTTTAATGTAACCCAACTAGCTCAACTATATACCCCAACTAGTATTAGGATATTTAATAATCCCCTGGCAGACCTTCCCTAGAAGCCTTTTTTAATGCCAGAGCTTATTACCTTACCCCATGTTACATAGAACATTAATATTAAAAATAAATCGGTTTTCCCCATCACAATCACTAAGCTTCCTTCTTAGTTTGAATTAAAACTAGTTTAAATAACATACTGAACTTACCTATATCTTTATCCATTCCTTAAGCATAGCCACTTTAGTATCTTAAAATATCTACTCGTCATTCAGATAATGGAAGCGAAAGCAGTGTTACATAAAACTGACTTAGGTTTGCTAAAGTAGTATGATCACTGAGATTGGGAAGTGATGGATTCATAAAAAAATATACATTAGAAGTGAATGGTAGTAAAGAGAGAGTAAACCAATGAAGAAGTGAGACAACATATGGGAGGAGGATGAATACCAGATAAGGAACAGTGTACCTGCAAGATCAATGAGTATAGGGTCAAGGGTTTATAGAGTTGGCCATACTGCTAGTGTGTGATGCTGGGTTGATATTATGAAATGACATCCAGAAACCTAATGAGTATCTTGGAGCCTTATTGTGGGAGGGAAATAACAAAAGAACAGGTCTAGGAAGACAGCTAAAATTAATAAATAACAGGAAATATTGCAGAATCTCCTGTTCTGGATTCAAGACATCCTCTATTATTACAACAAATGGCTGGCAAAAGTGAAATACAATATCATGTTAATCCCAAAATATTATCATAATCATTACCACTGTTTCAAAAGATTATCATGAGGGTTAGAAGGAAAACCACAGTTAGAAATAAAGTAAAATATTTATTTGTACCTGCATTTTTTCAGTACTGGTTTAAATCTTAACTAAAAACTGGAGTGTAAACTGAAGACTATGAACAGTGGCATGTTTCTAACCACCACAACATGTAGCAACAGCATCATTCTCCAACCAATCATTCATGGCAAAAACATGTTCTTAAAACTGCACACCTTTATTACTTAAACCAACTTATGTTCCCATTCAGCCAAACATTCTTCTCAACCATCGCTTGTTATGACAGCTACTTTCTCCTACAACAGATGTTATTTATGGTAATCATTCATTTTCTACATCAAACATTCCATATCATTCCTACATCATCCTCAACAAACATTAAATGATCTTAATAAGCTACCAATTTAGTATATTATAATTTAATCTACTGACCAGTCTCTAGCTTCAAACAGAACCCAATCACAAGTGCCAATTCTTTGTGTATATACATACCTATAATTTTGGACATACACTTTATGTGACATTTTTCCAAATATATGTATCTCCCTACTTTTATACACTAGATGAAATTCTCTTGTTGGACACATATGTATAATTGCTTTTAAATATCAACACCAAATTTGACAACAGAAGGTGTACAAATACTGTTCTATAAAGAATATCCATCATCAGTGGGAAGCATTTTGACCAGAGAGAGAGAGAGAGGAGGAGGATAGAAGAGAGGTGAGAGAAAAGAGATTCCTAAAAACTTACACACACTCTAGTCCTCACAGCCATGACGAAAGTTCTCTATCAACCTCTTCCAAGTATCATTTATTGCTAACAAAATGGAAAACAATAAATATGAAATTGAAAGCAAACACGACTTCCAAAAAAATCATATTAATAAACATAAAATTTCAGTTCAATGTATCCAAATTAATACTAATCTTTATGAAGTCACTGATGCTAATGGATACAACTATTATCCATAATGGAGCAATTCCTTGAAGACATTTTACATCTTGAAAACATCTATGTACAATTTTTTATTGGTCAATATAACAAGCAAAATTGTCTCTTGCACCACTGACAACATGAGGTTCAATATTCTAATTCATACGTACATTTATGAAAATATAATACATCTAGGTAACCAACTGTTTGTTTGAGGTTAAATCATATCTGTTCTGAAAAACTCAATCAGCAAACACTTTCTGAAACTGTACAAAAAAAGATAAAAAAAATAATGATAAAAAAGCATAAAATAAATTACAGTCTGTGTTATTGCATAAAAAAATAATTCAAAACTAACAGCTTTTTCTCCAACATAAAGGATTCACAAATGTCACATAACATTAAGCTAAATAGCTTTGACACAGATACTGGGAACAAATGGTTTTGATGCTGGAACCAGAAATGTGCATCTTGATTGACTTTATATTAAAACATCACTGTAAATTAATTTGTGTATGTGTGACACAACAAACTTGTGAGGCTGATGAGAGATCCAGCTGTATGTATCAGCAAGTGCCCCAACCCCTCTATACTCCACCCACATCTTTGAGTCTTACTCGTTAACTACATAAATCTTGTAATGGCTGTATAGGACGGAGGGAATATACAGTCACTTTGTTCAGAGTGAAGCTTATTCTAAAGGAGGAATTGTGATAACAGAATTAAAGATATCAAGGACAGTAGTCTACTCATGAACAGTTGTACTGTATATGATATGGCTCTGACGCACATGATACACAGTAAGAGGATCAAAGAATACAAAAGGAACAAACACATTAAGCATATTCTTTGAAAACATAATTAGAATTTCATAAATGAAAAAATACAATAACATAGGGCCAACAGTTAGGGATTGGCCTCCACCGAACAACTGTTTCTAATTGATAAAGGTAAAGGCACACTGAATATTAAAAAAAAATGATACAATGAAAAAAAAAAATGTACATAAAGTAGAAGAGAAAACAATGTTACCAGTGTGTTAGTCCTGCATGGGATAAAACAAAACAAGAGAGAGGCAATCCTTCAAGTACACAAACAATATGTGGAATTCTTTCTATAAAGGGATTTACAGCACGTTGTGGGGGAAGATAAAGACTGGGCACACACTAATTAACAGCTGAATTCTCACTATTATTGTCTGCAGTGTGCCTGAATTCCAAATGTAGAGACCTAGGCACCATAGCAGCCTACAGTATTAAACATGACTGCCAAGGTAATCCAAGAGGCCAACAATGCCTATATACATTGTTGCTGCCATTGATAACTTTTTTAGAATTAGCTATACAAAAAAAAGAGAGAATTGTCTGTACAAAATTTGGACAGTAACTGTGGTGCATGATAAAGACCACTGGGCCTGGGAGGCAGACTACAGCGTGCCAGTATGACTTACCACACGAGGTTGTGGGTGAGAGGTCTGGCTGGGAGCCATCTGTTCCTTTGGTGAACTTACACACTCCACCAATTCCCTACATGAGAAAAATGCAAGTAAGCCACCTGCATCCCCTACTCTGATTCTAATACACCGTTCTCCACTACCGGTACTGTACTCTCCTCTCCACCTCCTTCTCCTCCAACCTCCTCTTCACCGTCAGTTCTGGTCCGTTTTCGTGGTGGTACACCCTCAGCCTCACTAAGAAATTCCTCCCCAGTGTCTTGACCCCCCTCAGCCATTTCTGCCCCTTCATCAATTTCACTCTGCGTCCGTTTACGGCCATTAGTTAGTGGAGTTGCTGCTGTCGTGTCTAAATCTGAGGATTCACTATTTGTCTGAGGCTCATCATGTGAAGCGTCTCCATTTGGCTGAGGCACCAATGTCCTTTCTTCTGTCCGTTCTGCCTCATTATTTAGTTCACTGCCTCCTTCTGAAACTACCTGGGCACTACCCTCATCAGTTGGCTGTGTATCTGGGGTCTGAGTAAGTGCTAACTGAGCATTCAATTGAGCAATGCGCTCCTTAGCTTGTCGCAGTTGCTGCTGGAGGTAGTAAATGGTCCCCTGCATACCCTCTGTATCTTCATCCATTTCCAGCAAAAACTCATCCAACTCTGAAAAGTAATAAAACAGTACTACTGTAGTCATACCAAGTAACATTATAATTATGATTCTAATTATCTAAAACGTAATCCATTGCCTCTGATTGGTCAGAACTTTAACTATTACTAGTTAATTACAAAATCTAATACAAATAAGACCTACCTATAAATAAAGTACATTAACTGCACTGTACCTTATTATCAATGAATAGACAATTTGATCTTGAACAATCTATGTATAAATAATTAAAAGTTGCAGAATATCAAATTTATGCATAATGATCATTTTGCCATCACAGAATAAATTTTTGCCTATGAAAGCCAGTTAAGCCTACAACTATTTTATTTTTTATATATAATTGTTAGAATAAAATCTATTCAAAATCAAAAACATAATTTATAAAGAACCAGTTAAAGGAAAAATTTACACAGATGTTTGGCAGATGACAGGCATCATAACATTGTATGACTGCAAGCTGTTGATAGAGAAAGGCAAAAATGAAAGTAATTACAAGGAGGTAAATTATGATAAAACAATAAGAGGTGGTTTGACTCATAACTTTTTCCGTGAGACTAGAAACATTTTCCTGGATTACCAGTGCATTATATCTATTATATCAAGCCTTGTCACCATATTTGGGATTAATTTATTTCCCTTCATATTCAATCACTGTTACATATTCAAAGCCATGTAACAACCTTTCCTACTTAGAGTGGCCAGGAGTTTCTCGAACGTGAAAAGTTCAAACGGACTTACAGTGCCATTTTTGTTTCATTCCAGCCTTTAAGTATGTTGCATTCTATATAATACTGTACAGTAAGCAGTGGAGATGATAAAGATAAGAGATGGAACACTAACAGAATAGATGACAACAGTGTGTGGTTATGCATGACCAGAGGTAAAGTATAAAGGAAAAAGTTTTAAGACCGAGTGCATAAATTATAAAAGAATACATGTACCGTATATCTGTTAAGTATACTGTACCAGGTAAAGTGTATGGTAGAGTTTTTGAAAGACTTATTGCAAAAATTGAGAGGACATTAAGGGTAGAGTGAGTATAGGTTCAGTTAAGGAAGCACGAGTTAAATATTTCTGGAGAAGGGAAAGAATTTGTTTGAAACAGTCATAGATGTGAAAAAATAAAAGACCAGTTGATGGAAATTTTACATATTAATCTCATTCTGAACTTTGCCAGAGACCTTAAGATATCTAGGGCAACAAGTTAAACTTGTCAAACCTGGCACCCTTACACCTATCAGATGCTAGTTTTGACCAGGAGAATTGGAGAGATAATTACTGTACTTATTGTGTAAAAGAGAATCGCATTATATCGTTCTATGTCTTTCAATTAGGTATGGGACTGCAGCCCACAAAATACACCAAAACATTCCTTTAATACCTTATGTATGTCCACTCTGAGGTGGACAGAATTGTCTGGGGTTAGCCAAATAAAATATTAAAAGCATCCCAGAAAAAGAAGGAGTTAGTGGAAAAATTTTGCTAACCCCTTGTGTAAGGGATCTCCTCTAAACTGAATAAAATAATCTGGTGTTAGCTAAATAAAACTTTAAAAAGTGGCATCCCTACAGTGAAGGGGTTGAGAGACCATCTTTTCTCATTTCAACACTAACTCCATCTTTTATAAACAGTTTTTAACAAATTATAAATCACTTTGTGTCTGAACAACTGCTTCTTGGAATAAATTTGTTCAGACACAAGGTGAAGGAATGGAGCAATAGAACTTGGATAAGTAGGGAATCGTGCATGATGTGCGTAGATGATGTTGGCCAGTGATAACACACGAAGTAACCGTGCTGCCATCTAGTGAGGGTAGGGGAAACTTTAAGTTTTCATCAGCTGATCAATTGTCTTCAGTTGATCTTAAACCTTAAAAAAAATATTTGATGAAACATTAAAAATATATCATTCTTCTCTGTCGTATTAAACATTAAAAACATATTAAATGGTCCTCTTACACTAAAGGTCACAGCCTCAAGTTAAAGAAGCCACAAGTACAAAAAATTGTCAGAGCTAACTGCTTTGAAACAAGAGTTATTAATTGTTGCAATAACCCATGAAAATTTTGTGACAGTGAGAGTTGTGAACTATTGTAATAACCTGTCAGAGAATGTTTTGACATCACCAAGTGTGAACTCGTTTAAGGACAGACTCGACCATCACTGACATAGGTTCTGGTACATTCAAGAGCCAATGCATGCCCAGCACTTGCCAACAATATGTATGTATCAGAGAAATGACCAACTGCTCAAGCTACAAGTCTTAGTTGAAATGTAAAAATGAATGTACAGTGTTTTGAAAAGGGATAAAAAGCTGTGGATATCACTAAACCATGGACTGGAGTTTAACCCTTAAGCCCCAGGTTAGGGTTTCTAACCTAAAATTATCATATCTTACTAGCATACAGTAAATGGGTAGCTCCAGATGAGAAGAGAAATTATTGCTTGGAGGTCGCCTTTCTTTCTTAATACAAACAGATATAACAGCTTTTATTTTACTTTCTTTTCTCTTTTTGCTCAAAGTATATTCAGTCACAATACAAAATACTGAGCCCTGTAAACACTTCTTGTCAAGTGATGAATGCAGTGGTCCATTTACTATAATTTAATTTTTCTGAGCTTATTCTATCCAATAATGGAATTTGACCAAATAATAGAGAAAATTGCGAGTAACTTAGGTTGCCATACTACATGTATGGTTTATCAAGGAGCTATTGTACAGGGAATGGGTATACATTGGCAAGGATAAAATATGAGAATATTCTTAATGTATGCCATGGGACTCACCTGACTGAGATCTCTTCAGTTCCTCACTAAAATTCCGCTGAAGAGCCAGATCACCTTCCAGCTTGGCCAGACGGCCAGACGTAATCATGCGCCCGAGTTCCTCGTTCTCTTTTATCAACAAGCGGCATTTGGCCATCAACTGCTTTCCCGTGTTACTGTTGAGAGGTAAAAAGACACAAGTCTATTTATAGTTCAAGTGGATATGATCCAGTCCCAAGATTTATTGTCCTGAAACAAATAACATAGACCTGTAATACCAAAACTTATGTTATCAAATGCCAAATAAACAGGATGTCAACACACAAAATTTGAAGACCTAACATCAATATAAGAAAAGCTAATGAAAAGATGAGTAGCAATATGATTAACACAGTAGAATGGGCAAAGATAGAATAATTAACTCATGCACGCGAGTACCCACACACACACACACACACACACACACATACACTCGGTCGAAAACCCCAATGTATTCTATATGATCCACGGACATTTTGCCCAAACTATAGGAAACTTTACCAAGACTGCAGAGACATTTTGCCAAGCTTGTATGAACATTTTGCCAAGATGGTATGGACGTTTTACCAAGCACCATTATGAAGTTAGAACTCCATGTGTCCAGCATAATGTGCCTCTCGGCCCATGTAAGAGAGAATCCCAGTCAATCTTGTAAATTCCCTTTAATTAATGTCATCCATAATCATAACTGACCAGGTTGCTCTGATACCAAAGTGTTCACCACCACTACCTCATGTCATATACTATACACAGTGAGATAGGCCTTGACGGGTCAGAAAGGAGGATAAAGCTGCAGCAGGTCAAGTGAGGTCAATACTGACAATTTTTGCTGTGGTGGGACAAATCATGTACAGAAGGGGTTACTCACAGTGTCAGACATGTGTCACTACTTGACTGTTTGGGAATACGTGTATCTCCATCTGTTGTATCATCTAAGAGCAAAAGCTGACTATTTGACCATGAGAGTATCTCTCTGTTGTGCCATTCAAAAGCAAAAGGCGACTATTTACCAGATGCCAAATAATTGCCAAACCTTAGTTTTTACTGAGTTGTCTTACACTCAAGTCACAATAATTATATTACCCAAAGGCAAAAACAGAAGAACCCGGATTTTTAAGGTAGATTCCTCCATTTGAGAATTCTGTGGGACACATGAAAAGTGTAACACAGGGGTCCAATATTCTCTCTCTGTCTCATGTGCATATTGGCCTGAATGCATACAAATGTGTATACAACAATAACAATAATAATAATAATAATAATAATAATAATAATAATAATAATAATAATAATAATAATAATAATAATATCAATAATAATAATTAGCTTAATGAAAAGATCCAAAAGCTGAAGATTCATAAAAGACTTACATGATACACATATAACAGAAAAATGAGGAAGAGGTTGTTGAACATAAAGCTTTTGGTGCAAAGGTAGCACATAAAGGAAAAAGTGGAATGAACAGACAAAACCACCAAATAATGTACAGTACAATACCTGCACACAGACAAACTACAACAAGTGCACACACTCTACTGTCACACCAAACAGAAGAGGAATACTATAGTAAAAAGTTTCACCTGATACAAGAATCTGAAACTGTTCATATATTACCCTACTGATAAACATGTTATTTAGATTTTTTTTCTGAGTTTCTGAGTGTTTAATCTGAAAAGGACAGAGGCTTATTTTTTTCAGTGAGGGATTTTTTTTCCCTTAATGAACAACACAGCCTTGGGAACAGCCATCTTCTAAGCCAAGTGCATGCTATGACTCATGAAAACTTTATTAAATGTTCCTTTTGAAAATCAATGATGATGAGTCTGCCTCTCCCACATCCTATTTCAATACAAGTCACTGATTTTGAATTTGTTTCATAAAAAAAATAAAAATAAACTACTGAAAAAATTTAACAAAAACACATGTTATTTGGTTTATATTGAAGATACTGCACATGGTATTTAATGCTTATTATGACATGCACATTGCAGCTCCTTCATCTTTGTAACAACTAAACCAAAATTATAGCTGTTTTATCATCTACATAGTACAGGTACCTGTTTGTCATTAATGCTCAAAATGAATAAAAATCCACAAAAGCAAAGACATTGATGAACTAATGCAATAACAAATGACAAGACTTAACCTAACCCTAATGCTGAAAAATATATGCTACTGTAGTTTAAAATGATCCATGTACTGTAATGTGCAGGGAGGAAATTGTTACACAAAATTCTTATCTAAAAAATAAAAAAAATAAATAACAAAACTAACTACTGTACATTAATGAGTGTACCCTTCATATTTCTACTCTGCAAAATAGTGACAGGCTAATAAAGGTGAAAAGTAACCAATTAATTTTGCCCAATGAACAAGTTAATGTATCCAGAGCACCAAAAGGCTGTAGAAAGGTAAACTTTTCAAATATCCTGGGGTCTACAGAGGAAACTTCACTTGATGCTTGGTAAGCTGGCCACATTGGCCTGCATTACTATACAATAGTTCAAGCATGAATAAAAAATATCAAGGGAGCATGTTTAGTGCTATGTAACCAAGATACAGTATTAAATGTAATTAAATATATATTACTGCACTTTATATGAGGGAACAAGTGAGTGCCACTATAGGAAACAAATTCCCTAACAAACTGCAGTGAATTTCAGGAGGCTGTAACTCTGGGCAATAATAAAAATACTGATTAATAAATTTATCTGAGCTTGATTAAAATCCCCTTAAGTCATTAATCGATATTCTCTAGATAAATGTTTTAGAGGCTGCAGCAGCAAACATGTGTTGTCATAAGACAATTAAGGTCATCTACTGATGAATTTGACCAAAACTCTTAACACTGGCCACTAATGATAAAATGATAACAACAACACAGTTTACCACTTCATACCATGAACTCTAATAAGACACATTTCATTTTCATATACTGTACTGTACTGTACTGTACATGGGGTATAGCTAAAGAAAAAAAAATACAGTATAATAATGCAACACAGACAATTACGAAGGTTTGATCCTGAAAAGCCATTATATAACAGAATCAGTGAGGAGACGTATAAATATATGCACCAAAACTTTGTGCAGTTCCCCAGTAAACTCCACTGGCAGTGTGAATCTGGAGACAATCCACAACTCACTAAACCAGGGGTCTGAATTTGGGGTCCATGATCCCCCAGGGGTACATGAGATACATTTCTAGGAGCCAAAGGTATGCTGGTCGTATACTTAGTAGGCCATCTGCATCATTTTTCTTTTTATGATACAAACAGTTTATTAAAGAAATAAAAATAACAATGACTTAAGTCACTATTGCGAGGGAGTACTACATCACATCTCACAATATGACTACGGGGTAGGCAAAGAAACGCTCAGAACTACTGCACTAAACTATCCCAATCTTATCATAAATAAACATAGTTGCTATGTAAGCTACACCACTACCACCTGCCCAAACAATGAAAGATGTTGGAATACAGTAAAACTTTACTGCCACAAAAATAAAGATACTGAATAACCTATATGCTACCCCCAGCCTTCCAGGACACTCATAGAAACATTGGATTGGACTACAACTATGAGAAGAGGATACCCACAACATTGGATGAGAATAATCTGTTAACCTTACACCATTGCTAGCTTATCATAATACAGTACAGTACAGCTGCTCCCCGACCTATGACGGGGTTAGGGACCGATATCCAGGTCGTAAGTCGAAATGGTCGTTCGTCGGAAATGCTTAAATAACACATAGAAAATCTAAAATGGGGGTATCTTTTTCTTCTCAGCACCACAAAACACTCACTTTTAAGCTTGCCAGCCATTTTAAAGTGAATTACAGATGAAAATTTTGTCTGTGTACTGACTTTGGGATTCGAAAATACGTAATTTGACCAAATTTTGGTACGGCTGAGGCAGATCGTAAGTGCAGGTGGACGTAAGTCGAGTAGGTCACAAGTCGGGGAGGAGCTGTACTGTATATAAACACTTGCAAAATGATGAAACACTATGACCAGTCCAACCTTAGTGCTGAATTGAATGCACTTATTTCTTAATGAGACTTGGATAGACACATCATTTCCTCAGAGGTTGGGAACTGGTGTGTCGAAAATAATACTGCAAACCGAGTTGACGACATTTTCAAATGAAATAGGTAGTAGTATACAATGGAAAAATTTAGCTACATGGCATCATGACTTGTTGCCTCCACCTCTTAAATACAGAGAGCGACCCCCCCAATCTCTCATATGTTAATAATGGTTGCAGATTGCCACCAGCCATACACTGCAAAGGGATTTACTTGGAAAATCTCACCATCTTTGACCTGCAATTTCACCTGTCGTTCCAAACTGGTGTCATTTTGTAAAATCAAATATTTGTAAACCTAAATTAAATATGAAAAATATTGGCAACAGAATTAACAATAAGATATTATGAATTAGTAGAAAGGAAAGTAATTTACTTAGCAAAACGAGAGCATTAGCACTATGACTTTCCTTAAGGACAAAGGAAGTTAGAAAGGATGTAACCTGATACTGTGATACATATGTAGTCAAGCAAGTGTTGCCTAGTACAGTACATCATAGAATTCATGAGACTTTCCAATGGCATCTTTGAGCTTGATTTCACACACGGGGAGTACAGTACAGTATTGGCATGACTCCCAAAATAACCTGGATATTGTTACAAGAACCCAGTGAGGATATAGTTATGCTACTTGTCCTGGTAAATACCAGATACAAATTATGTGCTACAAGTAATGTAGTCTAACAGAGATTGTGAATACCGGTACATAATTAAATTATACTGGCACAATACTGTGTATACATTCTGTGGATGTTAGATGTTAGATAAGTGAATTCTGAATGAACATGTGAAAATGGAAATAAAAAATAAATATATAGTTTTCCTGATACACACAAAAGTACTGGTATTTTGACACAAGTTTCCTGAAGTTCCAGTGGTTATGGTGAGCCATGGTTACAGTTATATATTACAAGTACATCATAAGCATTAATGTGTGTGACCTTTGGCAATACCATTACACTGCAGTGTAACCTTTTCTATATCTTGTATACTCTATATCTAAGCATCATATTGAGATGAAGCAATTGTGATATGATTTTATCAC